GGCGGCAGCGGTTATATCCCGGCAACTGCCGCGGCGTCCTGCGCGAGTAGCCACAGCGCATGCACCGAACCCCTTTCCGGAAGCTTCCCCTCAAGTGCTTCCTGAGGTCACACCAGGCTGGGAGGAGCTCTCCGAGCATGCGCAGTGGCAAACCCGGCTCTCGTTCTTTCACACGGCCCCTGACGTCACCCACCACAAATCCATCCGGGTGCTTTTGAGGAGGTGCCTCAAGGAAGGACGAGTCACGGGAGCGTGCTAGGGACAAGTCAAACTAAAGTCGCAATTTAGTAGAGAGGGGCGGGAGGTCTCTCTACAGCTTCCCCCGCTGCCGTGACGGCCTTGTCCAGGTGGCTGTGCGGGCTGGGGCACAGCGCTGTACCGTAATACCTTTATACATAATGCCACAATTCATTACATTATATTATTTTTATTTAATATAATTAATTATGATTATAATTATATTGTTTCTATATATGTTATATACTTATATTAAATGATATTTAAGTTATAAAAATTATAGTTATATATTTATTAAATTGTTTGCATGATTTATTAATATATAGAAATATAATATTTTATAAACTGTTTATATACACACACTATAAAATATAATTAGTCATTATAATTAATACCATAATGCATAATAAATTGGTACTGTATGACCTCCCTCTCCCCAAGCTTGTTGCCTGGTGACAGGCAAGGGCCTCAGGCTTGGGGCCAGGGCTCAGCTCCCATGGCAACGCTGGAGGGTCTCGGACTAGGATGTAGGGACCTAGCGGGCCTCCTGTGGGGACGGGTTGGGGTCCTGTTGCAGCAGCCCAGCCTGAGCCACCCCAGGCCCTGGCAGGTTTGTCTGGCAAGGCCAGGGGCTCCCTTGCAGCTCCTGGACTTGCCACTGCTGTCCTACCATCAGTTTAGCTCAGTGGTTTTCAACCTGTGGTCTATGGATTCATGAAAAATGACCATGATCAATCAGAAGTATGTGGATACCCAAGGGGGCTGCAATACATCCCCATTCTAAATTTTTAGGGGTCCGCAAATGAAAAAAAGGTTGAGAATCACTGGTTTAGCTCTTTCCCTGGTCTAGCCTGGCTCTTGCATTTGTATTGCAATCAATTCTAGCAGCTACAGCTATAGAGCAAAGGCCCCGCTGTGTCAAGCGCTGCACAAACAACACCAGGGCACCTGCCTCAGAGACCTTATGCAGGCAAAGCCATGCGCAGTCAACCATTTTCTTTGCTGAAAATCCCCTTCTAAATATTATCATTCTGGGCTGGGGAAGTACTGTTTCTTGAACGAATTAAAAATACAGATCACTGAAGAAGATGATTTAACTGAGTCTGGTTTCTTTGAAAAGTAGGCCCAAAAAGTTTTAAGTTGGCAGTGCCTTTTGGCATTTCTGCTGCTCTTCCACATCAATACAGCAGTTCTGACTGTAATATCTGATTTGAAGAGTGGTAGGTTTAAAAAAAAAATTTGCACTATTGGGTCTTCAAGTTGTAAGTTAGAATTTTTGTGAAACTCCACCTCTTCAGTATTGTCTACACCCTGTAGCAAATTTTTGAGCAGGAAAAATTCAGCTCCTATTTGGCCAAATGGCTGCATTTTTTTGTTCAACTCACGAGGAAAAAAACCCCTTGTGACTATTCTAAATAAAAGAGACAGCAGAAAAAGTTATACCACTAAATACAAGTGTACAGTAACATTACTATTAAAATGCTAGTAACTTTCCTGGAGTAGACAAGCTCCTTTTTGACCAGGCAGAAGAAGTGAAAAGGAATCTTAGAATAAGTCAAAGAATGCTTTTGAGCGCACAGACAGACTTTCTATTTCCATTCATAATACAAACTACTATCAAATGTGTACAACAGGTTTATGTTTATTAAAGCTTTGTAAAGGTACACTGAGAAAGTATACCATTTTCCTCTCACGTTTGCTAGCTGAATCCTAACCCCAATGAGATCAAATGTTCAAAACCTTGCAATCCCCATGTTTCTTACACTCTTGGTACTTCTCGGAGAGATTCGAGTTTATTTTGTTTTTTCTCCACTGTGCTTAAACCTTCTCGGTGCCAGCAAGATTCTGAAAATCTGCTACTGTTGTGATGCACAACTAACATTTTTAACCAATCATATTGGCTGGCTATGAGCCTGGTTAGACATGGTAGGACTTCAAATCCCAGGAGACAAGCTCCAGATATGCTTCTACCACTGGTGCCATTAGTGGCAGTGCAGAGAGAGAGAGAGCGCTTCAGAAGGCCTCCTGGTCAGAAACAGCCCCAGTGTAGAGGAACACATAAAAAAAGCTTAGGAAATATTCCTGAAATGACATGAGACAGGGGTCTACACCACTTTCATTAAGGCCCTAATAAGACACCCCTGACCTCCAGTGAGACTTGAATCAGGCACCAGTTAAGGGGAGGTCACGTATCTGTACTAGAAATTACTCCACACGTTTCTTCTTCTGTACAAATCACTTAATATGGAAGGTTATAGGCTACGTACACATATCAATTAGCTTTTTTGTCCTCCTTATTTGCCCCAAAAATGTACTTGAAAACGTGGTAATTTTCAAACATGAAAATTAAGATTAAACCAGGATTTGATGGTAAAGCCAGCCCAAGTGTATAGTAAATACTCCTAGAGACATCTTCTATCTATCCACATTAAAACAGTTAGAAAGCAAAATGACTTCAAAAAAAAAGTATCTTATTGTGTTACAAAAGATATTGTAAAAGGGATGAGAGATACTTGGTTTCTCAAAGTCAAAAGACTAACAGGGAGAAATGTTTATCTTGCTGGAGATACTTCCCTGGCACTGTACCAGAAGATACTGGTTCAGTATCAGCAGTATAAACTTGGAAATTTTTCTTAATGCAGAGGAACTAACAGGATATCATAGGAGGGACTAGAGAACAGGTGCATACAAAATATATTCAGTTAAATCTGAAATGTCCTAATATTTCTTTTTTTTTTTTTTTTGATGAACCAAACATGTCAGCAGCTGCTCAGGATAGCAGACATCTCTGTCTGTCTCACAAGACAAAAGAATGATGCCAAGAGAAACATCAGCTCAAGATTCTTATCATGAAATAAAACACATTTGAAATGTCACCTAATTGGTGAATTCACTGAGTTTCCACAAAATACAGTTTCCAGCAAGATGCTCTATATCAGACAACACGTAATCCAAGTTGGGCAATTCCCTTAAAAATGAGTATATTTTTTCATAGCAGATTTATTGACCGATATGGATAAGGTTTGGTTTGTTATCTCACTGAACTTGTGTTGTATTTCTTCAGGCTGCTTAATTTTGAGTCACTCTGAAAAGCTAGAGAGTGAATGAAGAAGGAGAATAGCCTTAAAGGACATGAGAGACTGTCATTGACCCCTAATCCCAGTACTGACACATTAACTGGCTACTCTTAAAGAACTCTCTCATGTTCTTCTTGATGCTGATGTTCCTTTGCAACAGGTATTTGCAACTGCTGGCATCTGTGTTGGTGGCTCTTCTGTCCTGACAAATCCCACAGGGGCAAGGTTGAATGCACCATTTTGTGAGTGTTGAGCAGGAGAAGACGCACCATTTTCTGAGTGTTCCTAAGCTGTATTAACATTGCTGTATTCCTTACATAAAGGTCAGGATGATGAACAGAAGTACACAAATTATAACAAACAGCCCCATTGAACACCCAAGCTACACCATTCCCAACTTCAGACATTGATTCCTTTCTCCTCCATCATCCACTACACCGTCTGACCCCATCCTCTGTCACCCACTAATACCTTAGCTATATTTACAGTCTGCTCTCTCCAGTGCCATCTTGCAAGGAACTATACACCAACTTGCATGACAATATGCATCTTCTTGTGCCTCTCTTCTTCTTACCTCCAAACAAAGATTGTTAAAAAAAATAACCAGTATCTTTGTTCCACGTAAAAATTCTAATGGAATTTTTTCTGTTAGAATGGAATGGACGTGGCTTTTCTGCATCATGTAATGAGAAAAATTCAATTACCCTTAACTTTCTCATTGTAGAATAGGAAATTTTATGCCCCCTATTGTTTTTCCTCCAGGGAAGGTTATCTGCATGAGAGATGTTTCACGGAATGTTCTGTTCCAGCTCTCGGTGCATCTAGTTTGGACCCAGATTACAGGCACACGTGCCTGAAATTAGATACTAGATTATAAATACAGAATCTAGAAAGGCAGGACAATAGCAAAAATGCTTATAATGTTATTCACGTAACCATAATGGGCAGCTTCACCCTCCTTCAAAAATCACTGGTTCCATCTGCCAGAATTGTAAATTAGGCCTGTACTGTTGGAATTTGTAATGGCCATGACCCTGAACAAAAGGGTAACCTCCAATTTCATCATCATAAAATGTGTAGCAGCTGCTGTTTCACTGCAGTTTGAGTCCTTCAAATACTGACCTAATAGTAGAATGGGTGGAGAAACAATTATTTACATGTAGCAGAGAGAAGCAGTTAGCTGTGTTAATCTGAAGTCAGGCAGAAAGCAGGTAGAGTTGCACATTATAAGCTAACTGAACCAGAGATGCCTAAGCTTTCATGAACAAAAACATATTTTATCAGATCCTTTAATTATATATAATTAGCATAGAACTGCCAGTTTCACCAGGCTCTATGGGCTGAATTGTATCAACTGGCTAAAAAGAAGTGAAATGTTTCCTTGTAAGATGGGAGTGTTAAAGTGATGTTGTAGCTATGATGGTCCAGGAATCATGTGAGGCAAGAATGTTTCAGGGTGATATCTTTTATTGATATCTAACTGTGTAGCTGTGATAAGAGCTAGACAAGCTTTCAGAAGCATGACATTCCTCTAGAAACATTATCTAATTCTATCCCAACTATGCAGATCATCACCCTAAGAAATCCTTGCATCTCGCATAATTTCTGGACCATTATAGCTGTAACACCCTCTAATGCTACCATAATATGGAAGATATTGAAATCCACTGCTTACGAAGGAAAATCCACAACTTAAAGAAAAAAGAAGCCAGACTACACAGCAACATCCTTTCTAAGGCTCTGCAAGAAACATAACATCATCCCAAGGTGACTTGAAGAAGAATGTCTTGCATTCAAAAGCTTGTCTAACTATCTCAACTAACAATGCAGTAGGTCCAATAAAAAGTATCACCCCAAGAAAACCTGTTCTTTTAAGATGAAAATACAAACATTTCTGCTAGGAAAAAATCAGTAAAGAGAGAGAGAAATCACAGGACTTAGAAATATAAGAGAGGGCTGTACATTTTTGCAAACAATCTAGAATAGCAAACTGACTATGTACTTAGTGACACCTGTTCTTAGCATGACAGTTTCCAGTATCTTGAATGATGAGGCCTAAGACGGCAGTTGGGCACGGACTACAGCTTCATCAAGTCTATATATCATAAAGTCTCAGCTGTTCCTTCATGTCTCCTTCAGACATCTCTCCAAATGTGTCACTTTTTTCCTTCATGAGCCTGAAGATGGCAGCCAGCTGCTTTCTCTGAACCCTGTCAGGAAGAAAGGGACAATAGAAATAGCTATTCCCCAACAGGCACTCTGACCAGAGCAATGGAGTCAGGTGTGACATAAGGCTAAGGGCGGGGCTCACCTTTCAAGCCCGATCATGTTCAGCAAATCCATACATGATGAAATGAGCCAGACTGGGCCCAGAATCCTCAATCCTTCCTTTCTCTTTGCATTGTATTATCTGTCTTTTTAAAGCCACCAGCTTTATTCCCACCCTCACTGCCAAATTTGAGGCTATTTAGGATATACTTGGAGCTATTCCAGAATAACTATTCGAGAATAACAACTCTTAGGAGAATGCTTCATTTCAGTAGATCATAATCCACTGAAAATGGGTTCAACTAAATGTATTTCTATTCGGTAATCAAAGTATCCACACATGGAGTGATTCAGGAAGTGCTCCTGCATTTTTAAATTTATATTCTACCTTAATCCAAATTAACTTGCCAGCCCAGGGGCTTGTTTGTTTCTCAGTGGGCATGTCTATATGTTCATTAATGCACAGTGGTTACTGCACATTTAATTTACTACTTGTACTATGAAGCAATAAATAAATGCTCAGTAACCAGAGTTACTGCGCAGTAGCAAACACCTTTTAACTGATGCTACTGTGCAGTAGCCTGATAATACTGTACAGTAGAATATTAGCACTGTTCGTGCTGTGATGCTGCTGCACAGTATTATTAGGCTACTGCACTGCTAGCATCTCGTGTAGGTGTTCCCAGTGTTGAGTAACAGGCCCCCTTCAATTGTGACATACGGCCATATAGCAAATTCAGCAATGGCCTATTCAACATAGGCAGGTAGGAAATGCCATAACAGGTCAAACCAATTGGCCATCTGGGTCAGTTTTCCCCATCTTTGAAAATGGTCAGTACTAGATGCTTAAAGGAGAAGAAACAACAGAAGAAAGTTCCTTCCAACCTGAAGTGGTTAGTGGTTGACTTGTGTCTACTAGCACAAACACTGGTGTCTGTTCTAGGATTTTATTTGAGGAAGCTTAACTGCAGAAACTATTTTGTCCATAAATGTCTTTACATTCTCAAATGTTAACTTGGAAAGGCAAGATGGGAGTTAGTTCCAGGTTAGGAGTTAGTCCTAATCCTAGCATGTGAAATAAAGTTTTCTGTTACATGCATACGCAGAACCTTTGCCTTCCCTTTAAAAGTAACATCTCACTAGTTAAGGCTGGGTACAAGAGGGATGTATTCTCCCTGGAAGACTCCCGCCTACTGAGATCAGATAACATCTAGTTCCTACATCCAGTCCATGGCTCTTCTGGACTGGATTATAACTAAAGGGATGTACTCATCTCATAAACAGTAATGAGAGGAGCATGGCTTTCCTATCATCATACAAATGGAAAGCCTCATGCCCCATAAGACTGTGTCCAACAAACCCCAGGTTCTTAGAAATGCAGGTCCAGTGACTTTCAAGGAGGCAGAGCAAAACTGAATGCAGGTGGAACAGGCTGTTCAAAGAGGCTGGAAGACTCGGGCCCTGGCCTTCACCCCAACTTTCCAAAGATCCTCCCTTCTTCCCATAGCCAAGTCTCATGATAGAAAGTCACTCTCACTTTACTTGCCAACAAGGGCCTTCCTTACAAGCCAGCCATTTGGTGCCCCTTCCTAGTAGTAAAAATCTCCAGGGATTCCTCTCACTAGTTCCAGGTTTGGCAGCAGCTGAAACTGGCAGTGAGTGACTTTACGGCAAGCATATGCCTTGACATTTGCATTTTCCTTCAATTCAGGGTGTAGATCATAACTGGTTACATTGAGAAGCAGAGATGAAGTGCCAAAGTGTTCTAAGCTCTGTAGACAGATGGCAGGAACTCACAAGAAACATATATGTTTTTGCATGAAAATAATAATTTCAATGCAAAATACTAGTAGAGACAAGATATAGGCAGTTTTTACTTTGTAGCTGTCGATATCATCTTATCCCTGCCCCCTCCCAGTTCCTCATCTCACACCAGCCGTGAGATCAAGAACCAAGGGCAGAATGACAAAAGGATATTTTGGCAGTTGTTTTATTTTACAGTTGACATGCATTTCACTGCATCTTTAGATTAAATGTATAATCTATTAATGACCTGTGATCTTGTTTAAATCAAAATAAAATAGTGGCAAGTGTACAGACTGTGAAGTTGGGGACATGCTGAAACCATGGAAACTTAAATCCCTCAGGCTCAGAAATCCTGTTGGCTCTGACATACTTTTCTAACTTGCATAGAACACCCAGAGATGATCTTTTCTGCACAGATCTTCATATTTTAACTTCAGAACACCATTGGACACTGGAGGACACATCTCCAATCAATTTCAAAGAAATTCAGTATATGTTCTTTTCCTTATACAAACATATTTGAAATGAACTCCTGCTGAGAATAACAACAACAACAGTTCTGCCTCTCTTCCTCATTAGTCCAAGAAAATTAACAGGATGAAGCAAATTCAAGGTAACAAATTCAGGGAACAGCCTTCACTGACCAGCATTTTTCCCCAGAATAATTGCAGACAAATCTCAATCTATTTTTTTAATCCAGCATCAGTTGGTTCTCTCTCTCTCTGACAGAAAGGGCTCTCAAATCAAGGTTTCAATTTTAAGGTAGATAGAGATATACCATAATTACTCATGTAATAGCCACACATAGGTGTAGGATCCACACCCCTGAATAATACCTGAAAAACAAATTATCCATGTAATGGACATGTTCAAATGCATAAAAAAACCAGATTCAAATAGTACTTCTCTTAAAAAAGGGATACAATTTACTGAAGAAAGGAATGCACTGATGTGGGAAACCCATGCCACAGGGTACTTGAGTTCACCTCTGCATCAGTCTTGTCTGGATGATCATTGTAGTTGGGTGGATATTAGAACACAGAATCACAACTTCCATTCAGCACCGATACCTTCCTCAACTTTGTTCTAGGGTGTGCATAATGGCTGCACCCTAGTTTTTGGCAGCAATATTTCAGAAAAAAAGGTATAGGTATTATGCAAGTAAACGCAGTTTGTAAGAACTTGATGCCCCTGTGAAGTTACTCTCTATAGAGTTTATACAAAAAGAAATGACTGGGGAAGGGAGTGTTGGGAAGAGAATAGAAAAGTATCAGTAAAGTGTAATTGATCTGAAAGACAGAAAACGGCATCTTAGAGCTCCACATTTGTCAGTTCAGTTGTTCCAAATCAAATCTACTGGCATTTACCAGTAAAACAATACTTTTTACCCACCAGTTACATAGAAACAACTTGGAACTTGAAAGTTAAGCAGGGTTTCACTCTTCCCTGATCATTTAGACTAGGTTTGAGATACTCAAAGCAGGTTAAAGTCTTTCTGGAAGACGATGGGATGTGTACAGTTAGCTCCCTTAGGATCCTTTAAAAATCCCAGCCAAAGGTTTTCAAAAGGAACTAGTGGCTTTGGGTGTCTACTCACAGATACCTTAAATGGGCCTGAGTTTCAGAAAGTGCTGAGCATCCCCTATTTGAAAGTACAGGGCCTCTGTATGGAAGCACCCCAAATTATGTAACCATCACCCATGATCATTCTGACCAAATATTTTGGAACTGGAATTTACAACGCAGGCACAAAAATCTCTCTCATCCCTCCCAGCTGTATTAGCTCTGCATTGCTCAACCAGGAATAATGCAGAAATTGCTGGGGTGCTATTTTCAAAGGTCTCCAGCATTGGCCAAATTCTGTTCCCACCAAAGTCCAAGGGACTACAAGATGCTCCTTATGCGAGTAAGTGCATTAAGTTCTGATCCTCTGTCATTAAAGGCTTTATTCTGAATGCATTTAAAATTTACTGGGAAAGAGGTTATGCATTCTAGACAATTAACTTTTCACCGAACTTTGCGTTCTACTTTTCATCATAGCACCACCCTGTAAAAGCACCAGGATTCTTTTTGTTGACAAAAGAACCAGGTCTTGCTCCACATTTGACACAGCACCAAATGCTTATTGGGTATCAGCCCCAAGAAAGTATTTCCAGGAAGGGCAACAAAAGGGCTGACAGAGATGAGCCCCTGCTAGAGAGATCAACCACTGCTAGAGAGTCACCAGAACTACAAAAGGGAAGGAGCAAAAAAGCAAGGGGGGGGGGGGAACAAACAAACTACACAACCCCAATCCATATGAACTATTCAAAGGTTTATTGGACCAAACAAAGGCAATTTACAGTTTCAAGCCACCAGAATTACAGTCCTGTGTATAAGAGCCACCTTCAGATACAAAAAAAGTAAAAAATACCCAGAAAGCCATTTTCTTTTTGTTGAAGAAATAGTTTAACTCACTACCCCTAACAAAATCTGGGCTTGGCTATAGACTTTGCTTGCTCAATGTACATATTGCCATATAACTTAAACATATACGTATATAAGGCATTCTTTGCATAGTCACGTGCTTGGAACATCATATGTGCCAGCCAGCATGGAGAGAGAAGGCAGGAATGGTTGCTATGCTGAAGCAGAGTGTCCTTAGGTATCTAGGATTCATACATAATCCATTGAATATGCTAGCAGTTACTGGCTTGGAAAGGGCAATTTGGCTTCCTCTAAAGCTAAAGCTTCCTACAGTCCATTAAATAAGCCCTTTTTACAGACAAACATTCTCCAAAACCTAGGCACCACAAAGAACAACAGAGAAAATAGATTCAAGTATTGTCTGCATAGGAACAACAAAGCAGCCTGGGTTTTGATATGCTCGATGTTTTAGCTAAGAGGCAGCCTCCTCACAGAAAGAAGGGACACTCAAGAGGACAGGTTCCAACCTAGCCTGGTAGTTCTGCAGAACAGTAAGTGCTACCAGTAGAGAACAAGACCTTTTTCCCATGGAAGGACTTCCTGCAAAAGAACTTGATCTTACTTGTAATTTGATCTCTATGAAGCAGGCACTGATGCCCAGCAGTATGCATCATCTATACGTGACAGTTCAGGAGAGGTGCTCAGCCCTGGGTAAAGCAATTAAGTCACT